ATGTGCAAAGTTTACTTTAGACTTCTGTTTTGAGTCTATAGGCTATAGTGTAGTCACCCCCAGTGGCCAGCCTGTGCTGGTGTGCCTGTGTTACTCTGCAATTTATTGCTTTGCTCTGCAAATTATTTAACTTAACTGATTCCTCAGTTAGTCAATAGAAAAATCAATAGACTGTTCAATTACTAAAGTTGTCAACTGCTACAGAAGCTCGAGGGATAAGGTGACCTATAAAGATAACTAAAGCCATCTTGAATGATTTGATGGTGGTTGAAGAGTTAGCTGTTATATAAACACTCAAAAAAGGGGAATTAATTGTTGGAATTTTTGTTAAAGAAAAGGACATAAAGGTTTGAAGTCAATGCTAAGCTAAAGTATTCTGACTCAAGCTGACGCGCTCTGATGCTGTTGAAAGTTTTCCTTTAATATGAATCCCTCCATCTCTCTCTCTTTCAGAGGCAGACGGTCGAGCTGATCCCCATCACTCAGGTGAACTACAAGTGGAAAGACAAGAGCTACGTCTACTACGTGTACGGCAACGAGCGCAAAGTCAGTGCTGATGACTACCCAGAGACCTGCTGCTGCGTCATCCTGTAGACCACAGGTGTCTGGTGTCCTGCAAGTTTTAGTGAGTCCTTGATCCAACACAGCTGATTTAAAGGCTAAATTACCTCTTCAACATTTGTTGAAGTTCTCCAGAGGTCTGGTAATGAACTAATCATTTGATTCAGGTGTGTTGACCCAGGGTGAGATCTAAAACCTGCAGGACACTGACCCTCGAGGCCTGGAGTTCGACACCCCTGCTGCAGACTGACAAATACACACAGCTGAAAGCAATTAAACATGTACTCATTCTTCTCTTTTTTTAACATCAGTCTTCCTTCTTCCATATATCATGAGGATTTCATTTATTAGGGTAAGAAAAGCAAACCATACCTGTGTTAAAAAAACAACAACCAGTATCTAGTATTCTGTTCAACATTTTCTTAAAATAAAAAAAAATAAAATAAAATAAAATAAAAAAAACACTATACTGTGGAGGGATCAAAGGATGACACGAGAGATCCCAATATTTTACTCCAATTTTAATCTCGGCTTCTCACAACTGAACACTCAAGGTGCCAAAAACCAAACCCTCTCACTTCCAAGCCATCACACGTTTCTTGACACGGTAGAGCCATTTGTGTATCGCAACCAATTTAACACAGCGCTTGTTGTTCTGTGCCTAAAAACTGCGTCATATTGAAAAATTCATTAAAAATCATGCTTGACAATTGACATGACTTTCTCAATGGATTCCTCTTTTTTGGAAACCTGGGCTAAATTTGTGTGCATCTCATTCCATTGCATAAATCTAGAGAAGAATATTTCTGGTCAAATTCAACATGCTCAATGGAATATAACACTACATAAAATTTTTATTAAAAATCATCTCTGATCGTTGACATGAAATTGTCAGTTGAATACTTCTCTGGGTTACCTTCTCTACATGTGTGCCAACTTTCATCACAAAATGCTGCAAGATTCCAGCGAATATTTCTACTCAAATTCAACAAGGTTATTTTAATCAACAAAAATTACAAAATAAAATAATTTTTGATAGTTGACAGGAAATTCTCCACAAATTCTTCTTTCCTGCAACTCACACTACATGTCTGCAAAGTTTCACCTCCAGCCACTGCAACTCTTTTTTTCTTTTTTTTTTTGCCTTTATTGGGCTTAAAGGCAAAAACCACTTTCCTTGGTGGTGTTGATCCCCCCAATTCTGGAAGTCTGGATTGGCTGTCTGTTTAAAAGCTCCTAAACCCTGATCCTATCAGTCAGTGCAGAGCTTAGATGAAGCCGATGTGTGAGGGGACTTTCCCAGTTGTAACTGCCTCAAAAGCCCAATTACTACCCAAATACTTCCTCTGATACACACCAAAGTGTGAGTAGACTTGTAGGCCCAGCAGCTCCCCTGTAGCTCAGTGCACTTGGTAACTAATGGAGCTAAATTTAGTGCCTTGGACAACTGAGCCCTACGAATCTTTTAGTTTTAAAGGGTTGTAGTAAGAACACGTCACACATTTTTATGGTTTTATAACATTAGAATCCTATTTTACAATTTCTTTGTGAATTTGGGGTATTGTGATTCATTGTATTTTTGAGCATGATAGTTTCCTTTAGGGTTTATTATAGCCTCTGTCTCTGTTTATATTGGAGTGTTTATTTATGTCAGGGGTGGGAGAACTCCAGGCCTCAAGGGCCGGTGTCCTGCAGGTTTTAAATGTGTCCTTGATCCAACACAACTGATTTAAATGACTAAGTTACTTCCTAAACATGTCTTGAAGTGCTCCAGAGGACTTAATGAAATAATCATTTGATTCAGGTGTGTTGACCCAGTGTCATATCTAAAACCTGCAGGACATCAGCCCTTGAAGCCTGGAGTTCCCCACCCCTGGTTTATGTAATATCTAGTTATCTTCCTTTGTGATAACTTTCTGTTTCTAAGTCATGTCCCTGTGTCTGCTTTCTCCAAATGATATTCTGTTTTTCCCATTTAGTTGTGCCCTTTCTTCTCATTCAGCTATATCTCCTTTCCTGTTTTCAGCATGTCTGTGTGTTTTTGTTAGTTTCTCTTAGCTGTTGATATAATACGGACTCTATTATTAAATGAAAAGAACAAATTAGAATACACCACTGAAACGTTCTGCTGATGTTTTTAAAGTTTCCATGTTACCAGGCTGTAGAGGGCTCTGAATATTTAAACCGTTTCAGATCCATTACACTCACAGTCTTATGTTAAAATTTCAAAGGACAGCATTATATTTTTGATATTAAAAGTAACTCTGGGCCTCTGTGGAGTGTGCAGATGATCTCATCGCTGTCCAAAAATGGATAAAAAAAAAAACAAACATAAGGAGTGCCGAATCCTTCAATAATACAGACTATTAGCGTAACAGGTGTGTAGCATCGCTAACTAGCTAGCAACAAGCCTCCACCACCGTGCGTATGCTAGCGGCTAATCTAGCAAACGAATTAACTGCTACACACCTGTTACTCTATTAGTCTAATACTCTAATGTTCTTTGATTTTAACATTTAAGACTGTGAGTGTAATGGATTTTAAACGGTTTAAATATTCAGAGCCGTCTACTGTGTATGTGTAAACTTTAAAAACAGCAGCAGGTTTCAGTAGTGTAGTCTAATTATAGAATCCATATTGTATCAACAGCTACATTCATCCTGGGGAGAAACTAATGAGGGAGACCATAAGGACTAAGCTGGGTTTCCTGGGTCCAGAGGTTTGGAGAAACTTTTTCCGGTTCTTTCATCACAGCTGTCCTGTGCCAGATGTTCTGTTGACCCACTGAGAGACTTTAATTAAGAAACACCAGGAAGACTGAAGCTCATGGCATTGATCAAGCAGGACTCATGATCTCCACCAGCAGTTCTCTCAGAGCTCCACCGCAGGCCCACCCCAGAAGATGGATACACCCAGCATTTTATGAACTCTTTGATGGAGACCTTTGGTTTGTGTAATGTTATAAATACTCGGATACTCCCCAGTGGGTCCGGGCTTTTACATAAAGATATTATATTCAGTCCTGTAGAACGTTACACATTTAAAAATATATTATCCTCTCTGGGTACTCTAGTATGAATAACTCTGAATTACTTTATGGTGAATAACACACTATCTGCAAAAAACTGTGAAAGAATTCCAGATCACAAGTTTGTAGTTCGACATACAAGTGGTGACCTTTGACCTTCATCAGGTTTTATTTAATCATGTCAGAGAAAATCAAATATGTTCTTCATGTAGCTGAGTACATCAAGTGTTTAAAACGGAAGCTGTGCAGGTCTGAGATCAGCAGCTCTCTGAAACACCAAACAGGTCCTGTTAATGCTGATATATATAGTGACACAGTTACAGGGGTGAGTAATCCTTTTGACTTTTTGTCTTTAACTTTATAAAACAGCTGCAGCTTTCACTGACAGCACATGTGGTACTTTAACCTTTGTACTGTTTTCATCAGTTAATTTTGCAGTTAACATGTGAACATGCTGGATGATCTGTCTGCTGTCACTGGTTGGTGCTTAGGTCTGAATCTGAGGGCAGCTCCTGTAATCACAACGAGAACAGAATCATCACAAACTGAAATATAAAGTTTATTTCTCAAAGTTCTGCACAGGAGCTGAAGCAGAATGCAGCCTGTTGCATTTACAGTATAATGCTTGTAATAAAAGTACACTAACGGTAATTAGTGACTGAGCAACCTGGGGCGTTTCTCTTGATTTCTTTAGTCAGGGTAAATTCATTCACCTGCACGGGTTAGCTAAACGAACTTTTCGAAACAAGTTTCCCCGACAACCGAGTGCTCATCTTAGCTAGCTAGGTCTCAGGACCTAGCTAAGGACGGTATTAATGGATTAGCTTATAAACACGTTTAACTTACCGAAAAAGTGCACCGGGGCCTCGGGTCCTTTTGTCGGGTAGTCCAGTTTACTGAAGAACACCTCAGGCTGTCCATGGCGTTATTTTTATGCCACTATTCTGAGCGCACTTTAAAAAATTGCAGGCGCTTAATTTTTTTTACGTGCGCTCAGAATAGTGGCAGAAAAATAACGCCATAGCTGTCAAGTTAAAACAGTCGGTCGTGGTTTTGTAACGTAAACGCTGGCCCTCTCTCTCCTACGCTCTATCTGCTATTCCCGAACAGAGATGTACAAGTCTCTCCGTGACTGCAGCTGCCAGTCAAAGCTGTTATGATGACGTTACGCCCCAATTTAACATCACCGCGGTAGGAATTTGAATCAAACTTATGGGAAAGGAGACCCCTTGGACATAAATCAGCGTGATGAGAACTATTGATAACAAAAGAAAGAATCTTTGGAAAAAATGTATCTGAGGAGAATTAATTTATTTAATCTGACCTCAGTCCCATCCGCTAACATGGAGGAGGCGGGGTTTATGACCCATACTGCAGCCAGACACCAGGGGGCGATAGGGACGTTTTGGCTTCATGTTTTGGGCGTCATCCACGTTTTCTACAACTGGATCCGCTATCCGTGCTCATTGCGCGCTCCCGACGGAGGGGAAACGGGGGATAACTACTAAAACGCAGAGAGATTGTAACGGATCAATAAAAATTAGCTGATAACAGCGTGATTGATCTGCAGCAGAATGAACAGCGCAGGTAAGAATTGAAACACAGGACGGCAGACTTTAGGAACTATCACGAAACCGACCACCAAACGCCTCCGGGCCATTAAACGCGCAAGCTCCGCTTCTGATAGTCCACCTTCGTAAATGTGTTTCGATTACAATCTGCATTCTTAGACTCTTGAAATTTCTTAGTCCAACGTGTGCATTTTTTCTCTATTTGCTTACAGTTGTGCAGGAGAAAAAAGTACTTTTGTGAAAGAAAAATACTTTGACAGGACTGAAACGCTGTTTCTTCTATAAACACATTCAGTGCGAGAAGATTAAGAAGTCAGAATCACGTTAAACCTCAGCATTCACTAAACTGAATATATTTGCTGCTTTAATCTATTTCTGTTTTTTTTTTTTAAGGAGTTTCAGTTGTTTTCTCTTTCGGACAGTAAACTCCAGATGAAACTCATTAACCCATCTGAACCTTATTTCCTGAAGAATTTATTGCAGATGTTCGCCTTTGTAGTAGCGACAGAAATTAAGTGAAATTGAAAAAAAAATAAAATAAAAAATCCGAATTAACAGAAACTTTCTGTTTTGTACATAGTGCAATTTGGGCAATAAGCAACAGGATTTTTTGTTTACATTTTTACAATCAAGTTGTTTCGCTAATTTCAGTTTTTTGTGTCTGTTTTTTTTTTTTTCTTCAACTACTGAGCCCAGTCCTTCCTCGGTAATTGCTCGGGTGTCAGGTTAACATACTCATTCTTTTTTGAGATGCTAGAACAGCTGCAAGAGTAGTACAGAGAAAACTCCACAATCAGATGACCTCCCAGGAGCATGCACTGGGCTCAGGGAGGGGACACTGGAGGACACTGGGTGGGAAAACAGACACTCCGACAAATGACATAGGAAGCCAGAGATAATATATATATATACATTGATGGGTGATAAGGGAAGTGGAAACACATAATTACATAGCAGGAACAAATTAGAACAAAACGGGATGCAAAGCTGGACACAGTGCACATGAAATAACAATTAACTAAATGAAAAACACGCAAGCTTGACATTGTCATAGAGATAAGCAAACCCAGGAACACACGACAGGCTGAAGAGACAAGGATGAAACAAATAGAAGAACATGGGAAGAAGTAAGGGAGACAAAAAAGAGACACAACTAAGACGCAGAGCGAGAGAAAGGGAGACACAGAGACAGATGTCAGTGATTTTGAATTTAAAAATGTGGTAGCTTATTGTAAACAAAATGGAAGTGGAGGGAAAATCTTGTGAGGTTCTCTGGTTTGATGGTTTAAAGTCATTAGTTTAATTGTCATGAAAGGTCATGAGTAAAAACGAGAACCTGTGGTGGGGTTTCGGTTGCCTTTTTTACCTTTTTTTTTTCCAAGCCCCCCCCCCCAAAAGAAAGGTGGTTACTGCACTCCAAATAAAATCAAATTCTTATTAAAATGCCATTTTTGTACAGCAGAGAGACAAAGGGAGACTTCATAGTACAGTACCGCAGTGTGTATTTTCACTGTACTCCTACAAAAGATATAACTGACCAATAAATGCTCTGCATGCCTCTAAATTGCACAGCACATTTGGGTGCAGTTGTGTCCCGGATACTGTATTCATGGTAAATGGTAAACGGACTGGTTCCTTTTTTCCCCAATGTATTTCTGTTTTTATATTACGGTGAAGTACTTTGTGTTTTTTATCCTGTGAAGAGTGCTATATAAATAAATTGAATTAAATATATAGTGCTTTTCTACTCTACCTAATTTCCTTGTAACTAAAAATGATTCTAAAGTACAATTTCACTAACACATCGACACACGTTATTTTGCAGAGGCTGTAGCAGCTGCTGTAATCTTCACATTTTGACTTTTTACTCAAAATAGTATTTCGAGTTTAATCTTTTCGACTTCATTCTAAAAATTATCAATAATGTTTTTTTCTTAATATGGTCCTAATATTCCTTCATAGGGGTAAAGAGGGCTAATGTTGATGATACTGTTGTGACATATTATTCAGTTTAATTCAGTTTTATTTATACAAAACCTAATCACAACAACAGTTAAGGTGCTCGAGGTGCTTTGTATTGGAAGGTAAAGATCCTACAATAATGCAGAGAAAACAAAAAAACAACAATAACAATAATCAAACCACCTCCTATGAGCATACGCTTTGGTGACAATGGAAAGGAAAAACCTTTCAACTGGAAGGAACCCCCAGCAAAACCAGGCTCAAGGAGGGGCAGCTATCTGCCGTGACCGTGAGGGGGGGAAGACAGGACAAAGACATGCTATGGAAGAGAGCCAGTGACTAATTATAACTAATGAGTGGGGGGGAAAATGGTGAGAGAAGAAGAAACACTCAGTGTATCATGGGAATCCCCCAGCAGCCTCGACCTTTTACAGCATAACTAAGGGATGTTTCAGGGTCCCCCGATTCAGCTCCAACTATGTGCTTTATCAAAAAGAATCATTTTAAGCCTAATCTTAAAAGTAGAGATAGTGTCTGTCTCTGGAATGCAAACTGGGCGCTGATTCCACAGGAGAGGGGCCTGAAAGCTGAAGTCTCTGCCTGTCATTCTACTTTTAAATATTCTAGGAACCACAAATAAACCTGAAGTCTGAGCGCAAGTGGTGTAATGGGGTGATACCGTACTTTAAGGTCTTTCAGATAAGCTAGTCCAGCCTAGAAATGAAATTCAAATTTTCATTAAAATGTTATTTTTGTACAACTTAAAGAAACCCAGTTATAGCAGTGATTTCACTTCCCAGCAGAGAGACAGAGAGAGATCTCACAGTAGAGTACAGTACCACAGTGTGTATTTTCACTGTACTTATACAAAAGATATAACTGGCCAATAAACGCTCTGCATGCCTCTAAATATTGCTAATATATATTGTAATATATCTATATCACTAAAGCACTTCTGGATGGATGCAAACTGCATTTCGTTGCCCTGTACCTGTGCATGTGCAATGACAATAAAGTTGAATTCTATTCTATTCTATTCTATTCTAAATTGCAAAGCACATGTGGGTGCAGTTGTGTCCTGGGCACTGTATTCATGGTAAATGGTAAATAGGCTGGTTCCTAGCGCTTTTCTACTCTACCTGAGCACTTTGTAAAACTTTCCTCATTCACCCATTCACACCCCGAGGTGCTTTCTATCTAACATTTACACATGTTCATGCTCCAGTGGATACATCGGACACAAACCTGGGTTTAGTAGCCCAAGGATATTTGGCATGAGCACTGGAGCTCGAATCACTGATCGAATCACCAACCTTCCGATTAGTCTATGACATGCTCTACCTCATGAGCAGAGATGGGCAGTAACGCGTTACTGTAATCTGATTACTTTTTTCAAGTAACGAGTAAAGTAAGGGATTACTATTGCAAAAACGGTAATTAGATTACCGTTACTTTCCCATAGGAAGGCTGCGTTGTTGCGAGAATGTCTCATGACAGTGACATAAGCAAGTGCGCTGTTAGTGACAACAGCTGTGTGCAGATCAACAATGGATCACATATCGATTGTGGGAGAGAGTATGAGCGTGCAGCGTTTAAAGCGTGGAAGTACTGACCTTACTTTGAGTTCCATAAAAAGTGACAAAAACATTAGCGTCCATCGTGCGTGGGAAGAAAACTTCTTTTTACAGTGACAAAACCCCTAAACTTCCAAGCAAGCACCCAGTGCGCTACGACGTAATGGGAAATTCACAGAGAAACTCGCGGATTCTTCCATTGACCGCGGCACACCTGCACCAGCGTAAACCTCCGCCTACCGCAGTACTGCTTTACAGGTGAAAATAGAGCAACAGGGACCGCTAGTCTTTGACTTTATTTATGTTCTGCTGTGTTTTACTTGCATCTATTTGAAAGACCGAGTGTAAACACAAAAAACATTTTATTTTATGTGCTGGAATGTGCAGAAAATAGATTTAAATGTTAAACTAATTTATTCAAGTCAGAGAATGTTGCATATAATTAAATTTTTGCTTGATGCATAAAGTTAAAAGATTAAAACTGATAAAATAAGTTAAAAAAAAAGAGACTTTTCCATTTGATTACATTTTGTATGATGGATTATGCAGAAAAAGTAGAATTGGGCTGAAAGATCTATGGCTTTATCACCTATTCAGGTTGTAAATCGTGTTTTTAAAAAGTAACTAAGTAATTAATTACTTTTGAAAATAAGTAATCAGTAAAGTAACGGGATTACTTTTTTGGGGAAGTAATCAGTAATTAGTTACTGATTACTTTTTTCAAGTAACTTGACCAACACTGCTCATGAGCCACCACTATATTCATCAGGTATTCATGAGACTTTGAGGTCCTAACATCCTATCCTAACTGGATAAAAAGGTGCTGGTTGATAAGCCAGGCCACAACATCTATACCAGTTAACTTTCTCTCCCTAAACCTATTCTGTCTTACCTTTCTTTAGCTGTTGAGAAGAAACCACACCACACTACCACAAAGATATTACGTGCTTATTAATAAGCTCCTCGGAAATATATATGTATTTTTAACTTTGAATAGATTTGCTGTTTCCCTTTCAGCATTTATCCCAAGCTAACCAGCCACCAACTAGAGAGTGGAATCCGTTTCTTGCCAAGACAAAATGTCAGACCTCCTAAGCTGCCTGGTCAGAGCTTTGGTTTGCATCAAAAAGTAAACATGGAAAGCTGGAGACATGATTAGTTTTAATTTCACCCAGAAGATTGGTTTGAATTTTTTGTTTCTTGTTTTTCATTCCAGCTATGTACCCACCTGTCATGGCACCCCAAGCCAACATGTTTGGCAATGTCCCAGGCTATGAAGGCACTGTGCCAGGAGGAGGTAAGAAAAGCCCGGTTCACATAATTCCTCACATTAATGCTGTTGCTTGTACTTGAAAATTTGTCATTGATGCAGGCGGTTTCCTGCCCCCTCCCATGCCCATGGAGCCAGTAGCCCCACCCCAACCTGCCCCTGAAAATCCTGAATGGAGGTACGACATATTACCTGTGTTTCTGAGCTGCTCACCAACCAGTAGAATTTTCTGGTTTAACACAAAGTTTATGTGATTTGTAGCATCCCCTCTCTTTCTGAGGATGAGGCTCGTAAGGCATTCAAGGAATTTGTGTCGTCTCATTGCTGCTACAGTGACGCTCCGGTCACTCAGGGAGTCATCACCTCCATGGAGCCATTCAACACATTTAGGGTGATTAAATGTTCCCTTTTTATAATGCTGTCAGCATTTGACCAAAGGACATAATTGAATGATAATGAACTGTTGAAAAATTAACATGTGTAAGGATTTTTTTTCTCAGAAACCTGAGGGCTTTAAGTAAGTGTCCAAACCTACTGAAGCAGTAGTTTGCCAACCCCATGGCAGCAAATAATTGTGCAGTTTTGTGGGTTGGACAGTTTATTTCATTACAAATCTTCAGGGCTGTTGCAAGTGGTCAAAAACTACACTGTAGATTAGTCTTACAGCAGGATTTGTTATTCAGTAATGCACACCACGCTGTTACTAGTAAGCTAACATCAGTTATTTCTACCTACAGTTTTATGCTAACGACAACCATTCATAATATTTTTTTGTTATAAAATATTTTCACCCTAACTTGTTTCCCTCTTGTTGTTTTTTTAATCTACATGTGCATTAATACAACTTCATCCTGATCCAGAAACACACTGAAGGCTCACAAAGTTCGTTGTACGTTGACAGGGGAATCTTATCATCACATCCAGTTTCTCTTGGTAAAGTCAGTTTTCTGTTCCTTAGTACCGTCTAGAGACGTTCACTGAGTCCAGGTCAACTGAGTGGGCCCAGAAACCATATGAAGGTAAAAACACATTTTCATTTTATTCAGTCCAGAACAATTTACAGGCAGTCGAGAAACGGGTAAAAAAAAAAATCCCTGAGCTAAAAAGGAAACATGGGGAAAATCACAGCTAGTGGGGCGACTAAATAATAAATACACAAGATAACGAGGGAAGAGGAAACGAGAGGGAGATACAAAAACAAACTAATCACAGAAAACTGAACAAGGGAAAGAAACTAAATACCACAACTGTTCCACTATGGGGAACAGATACATGAATATAATTCCAAACAATACCAAGATTTACTAAAAAAACCTCAAAGTCACTTTCTAACAGACCCAGGACCATAACAGAAACTACATGGAAAAATGCCACTGCAAAATCTCCAGTGTTGAATTGACACTAGAAAGTGTCTATATAGGTCCACTCTTTTGAGTATTAAATGAACATTTTTGACAGTGTGATAGTTTTAACAGTAACCTAGTCAGTTTTAAAGGTTAGCAATGACTAACACTGAGCAGTGCTGATTTTCCAACACTGGAAAATAACTCAAAATGCTAGTAATAGTCCAGTGTTAGGAAATCAGCACTGCTCAACGTCATTGTTAATCTTTAAAACGGACTAGGTTACTGTTAAAAATATAACACTGTCAAAAATGTTTAACGCTCAAAAGAGTGGACCTATATAGACACTTTCTAGTGTCAATTCAACACTGGAGAAACACACTTGCTTCTGCTTTCATTACAACGAATTCCTCTTTTGGTCATCGTTGCCTAATCCTTACCTAAACATCAGTTCGTTTGTTTTTTTACTGTCACTTGCTGTGAGCTCTTGTATAATTAATAGGTGAGCCTGCTGACTTTTACACCCAACCTGCTCCACAACCGTGGGAGGTCCAGGCCACGCCCCCCAATCTCTTCAGTGACCATAACGTGAAGATCCGGGTGCCATTTACATCCTCTGTCAAGGTGACTGAATAACAGAAGCTATCTATCAAAGTGCTGGTTTTAGCTTTAAGAGGGCTGACACAACTTTTTTTTTTTTTTTTTTTTTTTTTTTTTCATTATGTAAATCGAATTCCCCCCCCAATCACTGGACATGTATTAAGTACCACAGTAGCTTTGAAAACGTTTTTATGGTCTAAGGAATAGATTTCAGTGGTCTTTACATGAACTTAAGGAATTATCATGCTCCAAAGGTTTCATGGGGTTGCTAGTTGTCCATGGGATTTTTCTAGAGCTTTTTTTTTATTTTATTTAAATGCATTGAGCTGGCTCAAGTAATGGTTGGATATATAGGCACAGTAAAGCTGGCAGGGAACCTTGAAAAGATGTAAGCAGCCCTTTGTGAATTAAAGCTGTCAAATCTGAAAATGTTCCATGGGTTTGACAGGGTCTTGAAAGGACCGGAGGTTGTTTCTTGGGTTACCGATAGTGTTCAAGGGTTCTCAATACAGCAGTTCTTCAAGACATTTCAGTAGTGTCATGATTGTATGTGAAAATGACCCAAATGCAGAGTCAAAGGTGAGGATTAATAAACAATCTTTTTTTTCCGGCAGTGTAGAACCCCAAGGCTAAATCAACAGAACAACGATGTGTGTTAGGGATCATTGTCCTGCTGGAGCGCTCAGCATTTCAATCATGTAGCTGTTGTTTTGAGATGAATTTGAAGAATTTGCTACCTCCACCATCTTTAACAGCTGCTACATTTAGGTTTGAATGCCTCACCTTTACTAATCCAAACATACTTCTTGTCATTGTGGCCACATAGCTCTTTTTCTTTTCTCATTTGACTATAAAAACCTTTTTCTGAGCACATGCAAACTCCTACCACAACTTTATTTGCAGTTTTGATTTAGCTTGATCTCTGATTAGAAGTTAAGCTGTTAACATGGGTGTGAAGGCTCTAAGGAGAAGTGTCTGTCAGTGTGACAATAATCTTATTATTAACTTTTTTGTGTGTGTGTGTTTTTAGGAATGCAACACCTGCCATGCAACAGGTGTAGAGCAATGCACTGAGTGCAATGGATGTGGAAAAGTAAGAAAATTCTCAACTATGCATAATAATTGCTGACAGGAGAAATCTGGTGGTAATGTTAAAGAAAATGCTTATTTGTGTCTTTGTAGAAAGCTTGCTGGGTGTGTGATGGCACTGGAGTGAAGTTGGATGCGGCCTGCAGTCACTGCAATGGCACAGGCAAAGAAAGGTACTACTTTTTTCAGAACAAAACTATGCATACAACATTACCATAAATAAAAAGGCAATTATTACTTCAGAATATGAGTACATGTTTTTAGAGCAAATCAATCCAATGCAGTAAACTGGAGATTTTTTTTAAAAAGGGACCAAAACAGCCAGGTTTTCTGTTTATGCATGCAAACCATTAATAATATATCTAGTTAGCCGTTCATTCATTCGGCATTCAAGTGCAATCATAACCAGACTTCCATTCTTTTTTCTTCTCTTTTTAAAATGTAGGTGATATAAATAACTGTGACTGTAGATAACACAGGGATGCTGAGTTTCTGTTAAGGTTGAGCCATATTTTCCTATCTGCAATAATAAGTGTATAAATTTATATGTGATTAAGAAAGCAAGAATATCAATATCAATGATACTACGTGGCCTAGTGTACTCCACAACAAGATAATTCCAGACATGTCTGAGAGTGAGAGCAGTGTGTCAGCCTCAAATGATGACTTCATACCTAAAAAGGGAGCTACAAGAGGGCAGACCAATAGCAAAACACCACACTTTTCAAAATATTCAAGAAAACTGTTCCTGCTAAAAGTGGAAACAAGATGTTTGTTGAGTACAACAAAGCTGTGAAAGCACAAGTGGACGTGACATTAGCACTGGTCCCCCAACACACACACACAACCACGAAAACAATTCTTGAAGCAGAGTCTGCTCCTGTGTGCAGAGCAGCTGCATCTTGTCTGCAGTGCAACCAGCAATAAAACCAAAAGAATCAACAACTGACTTTTTGATATCTAGCACTACAGACTTGCCTGATGAATACATGAGCAGAGATAGTCGCACCACAATCATCTGTGTCCTCTATCTGCATCCCGCAATAACTCAATTTTGATTAAAAATATATATATTTTTTTTATTTTATTTTAAAAGACGTGAAGGATGGAATCTGTTAAATTATGTTCTGGAGGATGTGAAGATAAGCAGCAATATTAACAGAATAAGCGTACACATACTCAGAAAATAATAAATGAAATACAGAAATATTAGAATTTAAAATAAATAAATAAATCTGATCTAAGGAAACAAGAATGGTCCAACCCTTCCCTGCCAGGTAAATCCAGGTAAATCTAGAAAAGCACCTCCCAAAGATGATTTTAGATTATTACAAAGCTGATTTCAATTCACATTTAAAAACTCTTATTCGATTCAGGCTTGGCTTTAGGAACAGTTGAGTCTTGAGGAAATGAGTTTTGGAATAAGAATTATTTGGATGATGTATGTTCATGGATGTATGATTCAAGACTGATGTTTGCTAATGACAGCTTATCGATACAAATGACGATGCAGAGGTGACTGACATCCTCTGTGACAATGCCTGCATTGCCGGGCCATATGGACTCTAAATCAACACCACAGAGCATCGGCGGCTGCTTTTCATCTCAATGGTGCCCCAATTAAGCAGTGAATTTAAACGCATTCATTTGATAGTTCAAAAATCAGATCACAGATTACATCCACAGCAGAATGGGCCAAGCGAAGAAGAAGCAGCCTAACATTAGTATGAAGACCGCCTCCAAAACCTGGACCTTGCTGAAATAAAACCTTGATAGGCCCGTTTGTTGAAATTCAATATGGAATTTCCTTATGTGGTCACACCTGAAACAAGAACATTGAGACTGCTGCCAGCGAAAACCAACTGTTGGTGATCAAATACAGCAAAGCAGCATACTGGTTATGTGGCCAACCACCTAGAACAACCACCAACTAGGGCCTAAAGAAGATATTGATGTGACCACAAAAAGAAAAACAAAAGGTTAATGTGTCACGTCTATGTTTGTGTTTAGTTGTAGTAAGTGTAATGGCAGAGGGAAAAAGGAGTGTCAAACCTGTAAAGGAAAACGCCAACTGCTGACCTACATCGAGCTCAAAGTGGAGTGGTGAGTACAAGTACTGAGCTGTTCCAACACTGGATTGCTGAATTATGTTTCTTAATTAACCTCGAAGAAACATCTTCAAGGTTTCTTGAAGATGTTGTGATTTGGTACATATATATGAATATAGTTATTGTGTGTATTTAGGAAAAACAATGTGGAAGACCACGTGGTGGAGCATAACTCTGGTTTAAAGACTGATAAGCTGTGCTCAGTGAATGGGAAGGAGCTGTTCAAGAACAGCCAGAACTTGGTATGCACACACACCCACACACACTCATGTGTGTGTGTATTTATATCCTTGTGGAGATATCTCATTGACATAATGCTTTCCCTAGCCGCTTATCCTAACCATCAAAAATGATTGCCTAACCCTGACCCTTCCCCTAAACCTAACCTAATTGTAATCTTGACACTAAAACCACATTTTGAGTCTCAAAAATGCCTTCAAACGAGGGCTGTATACAGGGAGTGCATAATTATTAGGCAAGTTGTATTTTTGAGGAATAATTTTATTATTGAACAACAACCATGTTCTCAATGAACCCAAAAAACTCATTA